ACTTTAACTGACAATTGCACAGTCATGCATAACTGCACCCAAATGAAATGTATGTCTTTTTTTTCCCCACAAATGGAGCTTTCTTTCGGTGGTATTTGATTGCCTTTGTGGTTTTTATTGTTTGCGCTAAAAAAAATTTTGAGGAAAAAAAAAAAAAACTATATTTTTTGACTTTTTGCTATTAAACATGTCCACTAAAAAAATTTTAAAAATCTAATTTCGGCATAAATTTAGGCCAAAATGTATTCTGCTACATGTCTTTGCTAAAAAACAAAATCCCAATACGTGTAAATTAATTGGTTTATGTGAAAGTTATAGAGTCTACAAATGGCGGTATATATACTAGAATTTTTATTTTTATTATACTAGTAATTATACCAGTAATGATGGCGATCAGCGACTTATTCATAGTGCCTCAGAAAATACATTTTTCTGCTGCTCTACTAGTAATTATTAACAACCTTACAATTCCTCTCCGCAGTAATATATTGCATAATGTAATATAATGCATTTCAGCAGGGTAATCACTAGGGAGAGAACGGACCAGGGGAACCAGGAGATGCAGAGTTGAATGCATTTTAGTATTGCAGCCACCAGGGAGATTAATTATTTATGCATTTCAGTTATGCAGACACCAGGGAGAAGCTGGACCAGAAGAACCAGGGGTAGCAGAGTTTAATGCATTTCAGTAATGGGAACACCAGGGAGAGGCTGAACCATAGGAATCAAGAGATGGAGATTTTTACATGATTTAGTGATGCAGGCAAGAGGGTGAAGCTGGACCAAAAATAAAAACACTTGATCAGGGTTTAAATATTTCATTTGTAGGGAATTAAATCGAGATTTGATTTTGCAGTTGTATCATGCACAATTTAAAAATGTTTCTGCATAATCTGCTGATATGTTTATGTTTTCTATTTCCATTTGTGAATTAAATATGAATTTGAGTTTTAAGATTTGAAAATCATTGATTTGTGTTTTTATGTAGATTTTTACACAGTGTTCTAGCTTGTTTGGAATTGGGGTTGTAGAAGTGACACAAACAAATGCAGGTAAATTCATTAATACATCATTAAATATAACTCAGGTGTCTGGAATAGCGCCGCGGACCGTGTTTATCGAAATGTATGTTAAGTCCTAAGGATAATACCTATTAGCTTGTCTACTATATTATATTATGGTTGGCTTAATAGCTATTACCTATTACTTGATCCATTCTTCCTCTTTCACTTCCTTCCCACCTTTCCCCCCCCCCCCCCCTCTTTTTTTTTTTTTTTTTTTTTTTTTTTTTTTTTTTCCCTCTTACTCCTCCCTGTGCTTTCTAAATCTTCCTCCATATACAGTACTCTCCTCTTTTTCTTTTCTCTCTTTTCTTTCCTTTTGTCTCATATTTCTCTTAAACAACTATTTCTACATACAAGCAGAATCTTAACTTAACCGGGTGCGGAATTGCACGAGGCGTCCGCCTCAGACATCAATGCTGTTTTGTGCTCCACTTCCCGATTACTTAAGCGCTTTTTACCCCCGACACTTGCATCCTCTATACCTCTATTGCTTACCATCCATATTTGCGAACTTGTTATTCTACTTTGTTTACTGGGTAGCGTGATCTCCTGTTTATGTTTACTACATACGTCAATTACATGTCTGACTACCCGTCTGCGTTACGGGAGATTGCTTCAGTTTATACGTGTGCAGAATATGCTCCGTACATGTCTTTAATCTCAAATGTCTTGTATTTCAATAAAAATTTTTGGAAGAAAAAAAAAAATATAACTCAGGTGTGTAGCAGCACCTAGACTGGGAAAGAAAAAGGACAGGACTGGGAACCAACCAGATATGCTGGATGCAAATGTGCTGACAAGGAACATGCTGATAGATGGAGAGAGCAGAGACATGACCTCCTTAGTCTGATACTGTTCCTTCACTGTCCAATGGATGAAAAGCAATTCCACCAGCAGGTAAAACTTCTCCCACATATCCATTTCAGCTGTATATGTAGATGTTGCCTGGAGTTAAAATTTAAAGCCCCATTTCGAGTTCAAGGTGACAACTTCCCACAGGAATTACTAGCTCAGCCTTGCACAAAGTAAGCTGGTCCCATACATTACAATCTAATTGTACAACCTCCTATAGATTTGTTCACAGATACTTAAATTAGAGGATCTACCTAAACAAATCCAATCATGATGTCCCTTCCTCTACATCGGGGTTGGTGAACCTAAAGGAGATGGAACAATCCTATTGGCAAATTGTGTGACCACCAATGGCTTCTGCTGCCTTTAGTGATGTAAAATATCTCTCCTCTAGTATTGGCAGCTGGTACACCTGGAAAATGAAATGCAGAAACCTCAGTTACACAGTACCCAAGATATATAAGGTAGGTTATCCAGCATTGTAAGCTCCAAGGAGCAGGGCCCTCCTAACCCTCTAGTATTGAACTGTATTGTTGCTGTATTGTCTCCCTTTATATTGTAAAGCGCTGAGCAAAACTGTTGGCGCCATATAAATCCTGTATAATAATAATAATATAATAATTCCAGCATCTATGTGGAAGTAAAAGACCAGTTTAGCAGACTGACCCACTACACATATAACTGCAATAATGTAACAGCATAAAAGGAGGTTAGACTTAATAAGGGAATTTTAGATTTGGGTCCTAAAAGAAATCTGCCTAAAAAAAAATGCCTCTGTGAAAAGCCTACCTAGATGCACTCAGATTGGCACTGTGGCCCCAATATATGTATACACAGGGGGCCATTTTCTTTAACTGGAGTGTGCAAAATTGGGTGCAATGCTGCACAGAAACCAATCAGCTTCCAGGTTTTATTGCCAAAGCTTAATTGAACAAGCTGAGGATAGAAGCCGCACAGCTGCACCAGACTCTGGGTGCTTCCGTTTTAGCAAATTTTCTTCAAAGCCTACAGACCAAGTGAACTTTCAGTTATAGTCAGCTTGTCTCCTGTCAGCATGCAATAGAGAAGGACCCTTGATCTCTCTATGGAAGTATTGGTCTCTTCAGACCACTGCTTCCACACAGAGGGCACACGGTCTTCTCTGCATCATGCTGGCAGTGGACAGGCTGTCCTACGCAGGGTGTGGCTGTTTCTTAAGGAAAACAAAGACCTTACACACCTTTTGTTTTGATATTTAAAGTATATAACACCCTCACCTTGTCAAACAAAACAACTTATTCAGTTTAAAACAGAAATGAAAGGCAAAGCTTTTGTGTATAGATATAAAAGAACATTCTAAACACTTTTTTTCCCCTTTTTTTTTTTTTTTTAGCGCCAACAGTTTGCTTAGCGCTTTACAATATAAAGGGAGACAATACAGCAACAATACAGTTCAATACAAGAGGGTTAGGAGGGCCCTGCTCCTTGGAGCTTACAATGCTGGATAACCTACCTTATATATCTTGGGTACTGTGTAACTGAGGTTTCTGCATTTCATTTTCCAGGTAAGTGACCACATTCTCTCTGTTCCCAGCTGCATAAGAGTAGGGGGAGGAGAAACAGCATACCTTAGTCTTCCCAGTGAATGCGGGGGGGAGTCTTATCATTGGAGGAATGACCAATGGTGTGTTCTCCTGCTTAGTGTGGTCAGTTTTTAATAGGAAAGCAGAGGAGCTGGCAGGAACACCAGGGATTTCACAGAAGGAAGCAATACAAAGAGAACTGGATTTTTTTTTATACAAATACATGGTACAGAAAACACATATTAGGAATATGAAATGTTGGGTTTACATATTCTTTAATGTATTTAGCTGGTTTAAACTGAAAGTTCAGCTGGGCTTTAAACTGTCCTGTGAAGTGCCCTCTTGGAATACAGTCAGAGAAATAAAGAATAATGGTCCAGATTAAGTCATTTTAGGCACCAACACAGTTCCCTTATTGCATCTATGATCACATACTTGCTCCCTCCTCATCTGTGAAGACAGAATTCTGGAGCTGAGAGTGCATCTCACTCACCTTTGTCGGTTTCCAATCGTCTAGTTTTGGGTCCAACACCACGTCATAGCAGAACGCTCCAGAGATCACTGTACACATAGAACACAAACACGTACAAGATGTTAGATGAATGGCTTTGATACATAAGCTGTCTGTATGAGCAGATTAGCAAAACCTTTGGCAAGCACTGATGGAAATGTTGTAGACATGGTGGAGGATATCTTGAGAAAGTGCCAGGCTAAGCCTGTCCATATTTTGCATGTCTGAGGATGAAGCCAGCCACCAGACTCCACTGAATACCCATCAAGAGAAACTGTTAAGTAGCACATCAATAGATACTAAACTGAAAGATCCAAGTGGACACATGCAATCAATTCAGTCACCTTTTACTTTAAAATTACACAAGCCGGGCATTTGAAGATGTTTATGAACATGTTCATAAATGTGCCTATTTCTGTGATAATCGAGGCTTTATTTGATAGCTGTTCACAAAGCCAACACAAAGACTTGTCCACTATACAAGGCTGACCAAGAAGATATCCAGGGAGGAAGAACAGTAAGCCTCTCAGCCTGAACAGATGATCTTTAGGAAAGACTATGTCAGCAATGTCCCATTGCTAATTAAATAATCAGCAACCACAAGGAGGCTGGATTGCTGGTTATCAAAGAACAAGCACGTTTATCACTGTGCCATCATTTTTGTATACTAAGTTTGTTAAATTCTAATGACAGCCACACTGAACTTTGGCCAAGGAGTTGCTTTACAGGAAAAGCAAAAACTAAATTTTTTTTTTTATTTTGGGTGGAATAAAAAAGGGCTAATTCCTCCTCAGGGTTTTCGCAGGACCTCAATGGAAAGATCTACCAAGTAGCACAGCTCAGCATTTTATCCAGGATTCAGGTTGCAGGCCTAAAATGACTCCACATGAAGAGTCTCATACAGCATCAACAGATTCTCCATAGAAATACAAAGAGCACACCCTAGGGCACTGAACTTCTTTCATGATTTTATATAAAGAACGAAGCACTGCAAAAAATACCATTAATGGTTTACCCTAGGGCTTGAAATTTCCACTCGCCTGCTCGCCAATAGCGAGTTGAAATTATGGTGGGGGCGAGTGTGTCCCCCAGGGCCATCTTGCTGAGCAGGCTCTGAGCTCAGGCCGGATCTGTCATTGGCACTGGGAGCCATCAGATTGCTCAATAACTGAGTTCAGTGAAAGCAAAGGAAGGAGTGTGTGCTGTGCTCTGTGCCTCCCCCTAGAGTGCAGTACCCGGATCTGTGAGTGAACAACGAAGTACTGCAACTTTTAATTGTACATATGTCTGTGTGTATGTACATGTGTGTATCTGTACATGTGTCTGCGTGTATGTACATGTATGTATGTGTGTGTGTGTCTCTGTGTGTGTGTGTACGTACATGTGTCTGTGCATGTGTATGTACATGTATCTGTGTGTATGCGTGTCTGTACGTGCCTGTGTGTGTATACATGTGTCTGTATGTGCGTGTACATGTGTCTCTGTGCGTGTGTGTACAGGTTTCTGTGTGTGTGTATGTGTATATACATGTCTGTGTGTGTACAGGTGTCTCTGTTTGTGTGTGTTTGTTGGTGGTAAGTAACTCTAAGGCCTGGCTAGTAGCTCAAGACTTGAAATTTTAATCCCTGTACCCTACAGGTTGAATTCCACCCGAAAATGTTAAACCGTATTGCTGCATACGAATGAACATGCTAGACCATACGTTGCATGGTTGGTTTTCTTATCACTTGCCATTTAGAGGTCGGTTGGTGTTAAAGAATAAGCTCAGTTTTCAACAAAAAAATACAGTGCTCAGCATAATTTTCGTGGTTCCTCTCCATTCCGTTTATCGGGCATGTTGGAAAATTTGTGAAAAATTACCGATTTTCGAAATCATTGGTGACACCATCAGATTACAGAACGAACTATATTTTCGATCGAAAAATCATTTGGAATTCGACCCATGTATGGCCTGCTTAAGTAACACTCTTTTATAATCAACTGTTTGCAGGACACTTGTATAATGAATAATTAGACTCACCTGTAGTTTAATTCTTGTTAATTAGGATTTTGTTGTCTAAAATTTAGCTTTGCTCCTAAGACTTTCATTGGGGTGTATTCACTTTGCAACATGGTCTTGAATGAATTTGTTAGGAAAAATACTTTTTCTGTCCACTTTATATCAAGCTATCACAAAGATTTTACAATTAAAGGCAGCTTGTAGCACCCACACAGTTAATCCTTGGTAGGATTTTTAATAACCATACTTCCCAGACTCGTGGCTGACAAAACCGTGTTTTTAAGATATATGAGTTAAGTAATATAGATAAATACACATACAGCACTAAATAAAGGATTTTTACTTATGGCTCTTTATTACTATTTCAATGTAGCACGTCCATCCTTGGAGTGGGCTCTCTGTTGGTTTCTATGGATTGCTGTTTAGTTGATAAAGACAAAGCACAGAGGACGGTTTTGTTTTTTTAAGTGTTTGGTCCTTCGACTCACCCCTTTCATGGTCCTGCAAACAGATGTCTGCAATGTGAATTTCTTAATGATTTCATAGAGTATGGGATAGATATTCCTATCCTCATGTACAGGTTGACTATATATCATTAATAGGATATCTTTGTGGCGAGCCACAGATGATGTGATAGTGTTTCCTGCAACCACAGGTGGAAGGAAAGAAAATTCTCGATTCCCCCATCAACAATGATTGTTAATGGGGGAATCCCTCCCTCAGCACTATTGTGTTCTGCCAGCGGGTAGCCTTCCCTATCAGAAAAAATACAACGATCACTGCCAGCTATAGCCGCAGGCAGTAACTGCATGCAAAAAAACTGACAGGCAGGTTGTGCTGATGTCAACTGATGGATGGCCTTCAGTACAAATCAGCCTGCCCATACATGGATCGAATCTTAGCCAATCCCTGATGAACCAGCTGAGATTGGATCCATTTACGGCCAGCTTTACTGTTGTTTGGTTTTAGTTGATGTTTCTTTCAGGTTTGTCTGTATTGTAAAAATGCAAATATTTTTTTCCTAACAAAAGAATATCTAATTAACCACTTGCCCTCCAGAGGATTTACCCCCCTTCCTGACCAGGTCATTTCTGGCAATACGGAGCTGCGTTACTTTTAACTGACAATTGCGTAGTCATGCAACGCTGCAATCAAATGAAATTTAGTCCTTTTATTCCCACAAATTGAGCTTTCTTTCGGTGGTACTCGATTGCTTGTGTGTTTTGTATTTTTTTGCGCTATAAACAAAAAAAAGAACGACAATTTTTAACTTTTTGCTATTAAGCATATCCAGTAAAAAATTTTAAAAATCAAATTTCGAATTTATTCTGCTACATGTCTTTGCTAAAAAAAAATCCCAATACATGTAAATTAATTGGTTTACGTGAAAGTTATAGCATTAACAAATGGCGGTATATATATTGGAATTTTTTTTTCCTTTACTAGTAATGGCGACGATCAGCGACTTATAGCGGGACTGCGGCGAGCATTCTGACACTGTGGGGAACTGACTTGGTGTCACTGACATCCCCAGTGACACCAATACAGTGATCAGTGCTAATAAAAAGCACTGACACTGTACTAATGGCACTGGGCAGGAAAGGGGTTAACATGTGGGGCAATCAAAGGGTTAACTGTGAGCTGTTTCACAGTAAGCTGTGTGTGTGTGCTTTCAACTGTAAGCACAATGCTTTGTATGGCTCTACTATGTAGAGCCATACAAAGCAGTGTGCAGGAGCTGACAGGGGAGAGATCTGTATTGTTTACATACAGTTCTCTCCCCCTTCAGAAATACTCGGTGATCACCGGGTGCCGGCAAGTAATCACCAGCTGGGACCCAGTGATTGACAGCCGAGGCCACGAGTGGCCAGAACTGCAAAATAACGTATATATATATGTGATTTTGCACACCTGTGCCGCCCTGTAGCAGTATTCCTACTATAGGGCGGACGGGAAGCGGTTAAAAAAAGGCAGCTTGTATCTGATTTCATCTACAGATAAAAATAAAACAATGGAATACAATATTAACACACCACATTATCAACATTTCAAGGCCCTGACCGTCTGTTAAAACACAACTATAAATATTGGCTGGAGACCAAAGCTGCATCCAAAAATATAGGAAAATGCATGATATGAGCTTGCGGCAATACATGTGGTGGATATATTGCTATCAAAAGTGATAGTAAATCATCTGCACTGAAAATGACTACATTTCCATACATGTTATCTATCTGAACTCCGCTCCGTTGGCATATGCCCTGTTGCTAAGCAGTCTGGCTAACCAGAAGGACTGAGACTGCACAGCACTGCTATAAAACACTTTCACTTACAGGACTGTAAACTAACAGGAGGCAAAACGAAAATTTAATGATAGAAATATAGCAAGCTCTTCAAATATAAAAAAAAAAAGCAGCTGTGGTTTAACTAGAAAGACTCTGGAATGAGCAGAATGGAAAACAAGATTTTTTTTTTTTTTTTTTTTTAAAGCAAACAAAATGTGTGAAGAGAAGAACATTGAGGTAACAAGTGAGACCCAGGATCTGGAAATGTTTCCAAGTTGTTTACTTTAGTGTTACTAAACCCACAACAGGAAAATCAGTCTGTATATGCAGTAAACCATGCTTGTTATACTCACCTTGGAACCCAAGGGGTTAATTTACTCCGCACTGTGTAAAAAGGATGTTTGACCCTGTCACCTCCGATCCTCCTCTTCTACAGTCCCCAATCCATATGCTGATAGTACAAAGCCTTGGGGGCAAGCTGCACATGCTCAGTTTGGTGTGCATTGCTAGAGACTTTTTTTCTTCTTGGAACAGGGCATGTGATCAGCACATTGCCAATAAGTGCTGTCCAGACGGAGGGTCGGGGGTCCTGCAGCCTCACAGGACAAGCTTTAACCACCTCCTACAAGCTTTAACCAGTGCTCTGCTGAACACTGATGGAAGTCACAAGACTACTATATAGTGCTAATGATAAAATGTATTCAGCTGTTTATATTTACTAAATCATTGTATCTCCATGTTCTGTGTACTGTGGGAGACTAGATACAGTGAATGCAGAGTCCTGGATTTAGTAACACTTTAAAATCATTGTAAAAGAGGAGCCTATTCTTTGCCTTTGCAGGAAAGGAGGTTTAACCTCCCCATGTGGAAAGGCTTCTTTGCAGTAAGATCTGTGAAAATGTGGAATAGACTTCAACAGAGGCTCAAGCCAACTCTACAGACAAAAAGGCTAGAAATCTACAAAATATACCTGGCTATTAGCATTCTTAAGAAAGAACACTGTAGATTTTAGTACATATTATTTATTACAGGAATTGATATAGTGCTGATAATTTCACAGATCTCTTTTCATATTCACATTCACACCAGACTCTGCCCCTGCCCTCAAGGAGCTTACAACCAAAAGATTCTATCTTACCTGCACACATACATACTGGGGTCAATAACCAAATAAGCTACCTGCATGTCTTTGAATTGTGAGTACCCAGAGGAAAATTACTGATTATCAACTCAGAGAGTATCTAAATCCCTATAGGGGGGGCATGCTTTAAATGTGCTTTTTGTATTCATCTGAATTAACTGCAGATGTATGGTTTTGAGGATGCAAGCTTTCTAAAGATGTACTCCAGGAGAAGTAAAAGTCCTCCCTTACAGTGGGGCTGTGCCCGCAATGACAGGGTTACCTGTTTATGTCTAGGGGGATCAAGTAAAGTAGTTATTTCAAACCAATCTTCCATTCCCACAGGGTCCTCCACATTACTAGACCGGAACCTGCGGCCGGGTGCCCCAATTGCCATCAATACTGATGCAAGGACCAAAACCCTGTAATGAATGTGGAGATTCCAAGGGACAGTTCACTGTCAGAGTGTAGGGGAGCTCTGACTGCTGGGAGAAGCAGAGGATCAGGTAAGTAAAAGTGCTTTTAGCAACATGTGAACATTAATGAGTCGGCACAGTCCAACTGCAAAGGAGGACTTTTACTTTTCCCTGTGTTGGGTTTTAAGGCATTTATTTCTGCCTTTGGTTGCATTCAATGACATAAACCCTGTGACAGAAGCCAGAAAATCCACTCAATCCACCATTGAGTTTTGTGTAATTCAGCGTTTCTCAACCTTTTTACATTCGCTGGACCCTGTATGCATGGTAAATTTGGAGGCCTCCCAGTATAAAATGCAAAAATTGTAAATGTTATTTTTAAGTGGGGAGCCTGAGCCTGGGCCAACCGTCTTCATAAAATCAACTTCACATATTAGAGGACCCTCCATTTTATCAGATTCTCCCTCACATCGGAGCCAAACCTTCACTTACTCTGCATCAGAGTCATGTGCTGCCATGCAGGCGAGCCAGTAGAATTCCTGCTTCCCAGGAACATTTGACTATGACTAGTGGTTATTAGAAACTTGCAATAACTTGCTTTTTGTAAGTATGACAGTAATAAGCTTGCAGGCAGTATGATTGGGAATACACCTCTTGCATGAAAATAGGGGTCCTGCAGATTTCCAACTTAATTCAGTGGGATAAAATGAGAAATGCAGCAATG